GAGTCATGGGATTCAAGTTTGTAATTCGCGGTCGTTAGGAAGGTGAGGCATTCTACGGTCAGCCTTCACCGTGTTGGGTTGCTTTTCTCTCTTTTATTTTATTTGTGTGTTTATTGATGTTTATAGTTTAGGTACTAGCATACCCTAAAACCCCAAGGGTTGCACCACTGCCTTGGTTGGGGGTACACGTTCCCCGTGTTTTTCCCACCTGCTGGTTTTTTGGGGTTTTCGTGTCCGGCTTTGGTGCTTCTGTTCTTTCGTTTATAGATATTACTTGATATTTGTACATATCTGCATATATGTTGAATAAACGGCACGGTGGCTTGGCTGCCCACGCGCCCATATATGAACATTGATGTCTTGTGTGTACCGGTTGAGTAGTGGAGGCAAAATACTATTAATCAACAGCCACTTCGTTAAGCAATGAATCAAAACAAGAACACTGCACATGTTGATTCTCAGACGTCGGAGGTCGTTCGCGGTCCCTTTCGCTTCCCTCCCGCGAACGACCTCGGACGTCTGAGAATCAGGCTACTTAAATCTGGCCGTTATTTTCAATTCCTATTTACCAAGGGCCATAATGGCTCTTGTATTACCTACTACGTGACTACGGACCCCGATGGCAGACCATTTTATTCTTTGGAGTTCAGATAAATTTACATTCATCGACCACGGGACCGCGGACTGCGGTGGCAGTCCGTTTTACAGTGCGATTAGTGGGTCGGGTATTCTGCAATTGCTCCGTGAGCTTTATCGAGAAGAAAAACGTTTCGTTCCCGCTGCAAACCGATAAAATAATAATCGATCCAAAGTCGATTAGTTGGTTGAAAACAAACAAGAAACGATTTCAAACAGCCACGTGCTTTAACAAAAAAACCGCTGCTTTGAGAGTTTTTGAGCTAGAATCAATCGATGGTTTTGAAAGATATAGCACAACAAGTAAAAGCTATGCCGTTCTGAAGGTACAGTATTTCGAAGCGCTTGTAACCTAAATATTTCTTTTCAGCGCCAGATTTATGCAAATTTTGAAAACATCGCAAGTTGGTTTCGAATTACATCGTTAGCACTACTGTTTATATTTTGAAACCTATCGCCTTTTATTAATATCCTTTTTACATGCGGGGGCGTTTGGGTCGTCCCCGTCCCAATGACTCCTACCCCTAAACAACATACAGTGTTACCTACAGTATTACACATTACATATCTTTACGTGTTAAAGATACATGTCGAGCTTCGAATTCCCCTTAAAAAGGTTTAAGGACCAAAACTGTAAAATCTGCTCTAAATATTGCTGTCACGTTACTCACGCGGATGAGGTCGCTTACCATGACGATATAGAAATTTGGTCACGTACGTACGGTGGCCCACAAGTGCACACCGAATTCCAGAAAGTCACACCGAATTCAAATAACTCACACCGAATTCAAATAACTCACACCGAATTCAAATAACTCACACCGAATTCGAATAAACTCACACCGAATTCGAATAAACTCACACCGAATACAAGTAACGAGCGACGCCTGGGTGCGAGTAGTGAGGTGACCAATCCCGGTATCCTCTTGGCTTCTTCTTCCCGCGATTTCAAGATGGCGGCGGCAAACTCAACAACATCGCTAACATGTGAAGTTTGCACAGCAACAGTGACGCTTTACAGCAAGTTTTGTGCCACCTGTGGTGCTGAGCTTGATATAGAAACACAAGCACTGAAATATTATTTCAACGAAGGATACGAGTATGAGGTTATTCTGTGCTTTTTGCTGAAATACCACGGAATAGAAATGAGCCTGCGAACGCTCAAGGAGAGATTCAAGTCACTTGGGCTTCGACGACGGAACCTATTGGATTCAAATGACCAGGATATCAGAGCTAGAATACAGGAGGAGTTAGATGGGCCTGGTTGCTTAAAGGGGTACAGGAGCATGTGGCATACTTTGCGCCGTGAGGGTTATCAGGTGTCGAGGCAAGCAGTGGCGACATGCTTACAAGAAATGGACCCTGAGGGGTGCGAACGAAGACGAAGGCGGAAGCTCAAAAGAAGAGTTTACACTAATCCAGGGCCGAACTACTGTTGGCATATTGATGGCTATGACAAATTGAAACCTGACGGGTTCCCGATCCATGGCTGTATTGACGGTTACAGCCGAAAGATAATATGGTTAAGATTGGACAGAACAAACAATAATCCCGTAGTGATCGGGAGATATTATATGGATGCTGTGAAGGAATACGGAGGATGCCCCATGAAGGTTAGAACTGACTGTGGCACTGAAAACGGCCTTGTAGCAGCAGCACAATGCTATTTCATTGGCAATGATCTGGCACATATTTATGGAACCTCACCTCACAACCAACGAATAGAAGGGTGGTGGTCGTACCTAAGACAACACTTAACTACTTGGTGGATGAACTTTTTCAAGGACTTACTGGAACAACAAGTCTTCACTACTGGTAATGAACTACAGATGGAGTGCTTGTGGTTCTGTTTTTCCGGGCTCATTCAGCAAGATTTGGATAGCGTAAAAGTACACTGGAACAGCCACTACATCAGAGAGTCGCGCCATGACACTGTAAAAGGAAGACCCAATGAGTTGTTTTACCTACCTGAACTGCGCAATACTGAGGACTTTCTTGCTCCTGTCAGTGCACAGCAGTGTGACTATATCACAGATAATTACCTTCCCCTTGCAGAGAGCACCAATGAATACCAGGAGTATTTTCAGTATGCCTTTCAAGCTGCAGGTCTTTCCAACCCCCAAAACTGGCGGGAAGCCTTAGACTTGTACCATAATCTTTACAGGTATGCATCCAGTTGACTATTTCAGAGTCAGACACACCTGCCCTGACTCATATTTATTTGAATGGTAATGAAGATCGGCAAGACAAAATGATGTATACGTAATTTTCTCTTGAGATCAGATACCAAGTTTGGTTTCAGAAGATACACTCGTTTCAAATCTGTATTATTAAAATTGTTCTTGTATGTGGGGCAAACGTGTCTGATTGTCCAACTGGAAGCTACGACACCAGATTGGTTTTCCTTCACTGCCAGGCAACCAAACTTCTGTTAAGTTGTCTTGGGTTCTGTGACCGTGTAAGGTCGAGTAAAAACAGACTAGTACGTTTACAAACAACAACAACATGGATTCTATTTATTCTTATCTGTCACATGACTAGAGCATTCCAAATATGGGCAACATTACATGTAGGTACGAAATGTTTTCGTCATGGGTCATTTTTTGCCTCCATAACATAACGACAACGAAGCCCTTTGTAAATGTAAACATAAGACTTTCTTCAAAAGGTTGTCAAACTGTTCTTTCATTGTTTTTTATTGTTGGTAACAGAAAGATCTGAGTTCTTTAAATACAGTAAAAACCGGCGTGTAAGAACCTATTTCAGAATCTGTTTAGCCTAATGTCCTGGTAAGCACCATTTACATAAGAACCTGTTTAGGCTAACTTGCAAAAATCTAGGTTCTTATATGCGGATATTTACTGTAGGTAACATCTCCTTCGTCAACGTTTTATGTGAAACAATTATCTTGTAGTAACAGTAACAATAACATATATTAGACACTAAAAGCACTTTCTGTTTGATTTACAAGAGTGTTTCATGCAGCATTCTTAGCCCTTTACAGTTTATGGAATATAATATCTTTTGCAGCCCTACTGACATTTCTCTACATCCAGAAATGTTTTCTCTCCCCTGGTAAACTAAACAACTGGACTTGGTCGTTAATGGTTAAGAAATCTCAAGAGCTTTGCAGCATTACCCGGGTAACACTTATCATAAAGTACTGTAACATTCAACTAATTTAGTAGTAAGCATTACTGCCTACCACACCAATGTCAACTTACTTACTGATACTAACAAACTGAAACTAGAGTGGTTTTACATAACCCGTGAAACACTGTGTGAAAATTACTGTGTAATACTACAAAGTAAGCAAAAGGAAACAATGCAGTTAGTGTCTAATAGTGCGTACTAGACTACTATTATTTTCACGAGTTAGGTAAAGTCACTCCAAAACATACAGCTTGTAAAAAGCCCTTCCCAAGCCCCAATGTTATATTAACAGGAACTAGTCACAATGAATTAACATGAACTAACTTATAAAAATTTGTACATACACTGAAAATTAAAACTTGTCCCAAGAATGCAAAAACAATACTTGTGAACAGTCAATAATTTTCTTGTTCTATCACTAACTTTTGTTACATGTGACCATTTTGTCACTTTTCAGTCAGTCGAAACCAACTGTGAGCAAGGCATGCCTTTTCTTTAAAATTCTTCAGGTAACAATGCAGGTAACTACAAAGAATATAGCTGCTTTATAAACATTTTAAACTCTTGTCAGTTCTGCTGGTAAATGGGAAATGTTTAAAACTCGTGATAAAAGTCCAGTCAGCCAACACAAGAAAAATTTGAAATTCTCTGAGTTAGTTATACAAAGCTGTCAATGCAATAAAACATATTTACTTTACTCTGTCCAAAGTCCTTGCATTTGTAAATTGCAAAATTAGAATACATTTTAAACTGCTTTGGGTCGGTCATGTGGCTGACTGGGTCTTCACTAAGGCTGTGTGGCCAATGAAATGCACTAACCCGACTACCACCCACAGCATCCTTTTTGCATGCAGCAACATTGTAAAAAAAAAAATACAATGAACTGCATCAGTGACATTCCTCAATGTTTCGACTGGTCACTCAAAAACTTAACAAACATGTCACTAAGCAGTTTCAATTCAGCGTAGTAAAACCAAAACAAATATACAATTACTGTCGCCAATCACGACAAATGCAAACCATGAAACAATGAACCAACCACAACTCGGCAAACACATACAAATGTTTTCAAGTTTTGGGTTCACTGCTGAGAAACTAACATGTTTTGCTAATCAATTGCAGAGTACTGTCAAAGAAAACCTGAAATTCATTTCGAGACTCGGGTGAAAACCATTCTATACCTTAACCTGTCACTTCACTCTGTCCAAAGTCTATGCATTTCCAAATGCATTTCCTTTGCACATGGCAAGTAGTAAGACATGTTTAAACTGTTCTGGGGTTTTCATGTGGGAGACTGGAAATGTGATTTCCTTGCTGCAGGCTGCCACACGGGGAAAGCAGATTGTGTGATTAGGATTTCTTGTGAAGCAATCATGGTCGAAGAGGGCAGTGACATTCAGCGGCTCTCCATTTAAGGGGCGGTGCTTTTGGCCTGTCAGCCACCCCAATACACCAGATGGTGTGGTGTCCATGGACTGAAATCGCTCCACTTCGCTACTTTCAGTGTTCGTGTCATTGAAGTCCTTCCATGCTACTGGCTCGGAATAGCCAGTTATTTGTTCATCTTCCAATGACATCAGAAAATCTTGTAGGTTGTCAATGACTGCCTCTTCAAGTGGTCGTTTTGACGAGCCCTGTTCCGAGTAGCTTGGATTGACAAGCGAAAAGACATAATTGGCATCTACCACCTGATTTGAACCTTTCACAAAAAGAGGCTTGCATAAAGAAGCATTGCCCCTAATGACATCATATGCACCATACAGCTTCAGACCTTCACAAAATTCTTTCATGTACAGCAAACGCTTGGTCATAATGCTTAGTTGCATTGTTCCAATGACATCCTCTTTGTGGTCATGATCAATGATGCCAGTGTATCCATGGTCAACAATTACATCACACAAAGCACCTTCAAATGTGTCACAAGCTCTTACTGCGTCGAATAGCTCTTTGTCCTTTGCAGTGAAATGCCTGTCAACATCTAGGTTGCCAATGTTCACATCAGGGTCCAACATCAACTGGTACACACTCTCATCCAAGAAAGATGGCGCTGGTCCTCCTTGAGCCAAAGACACTGCAATGATTTCCCCACAGGTTTTGAAACTTTTGTTATGAACATTGTACAGTGAATTTATGGGGGCTCCATCTGGAAACACTGCCAGCCCCATATCATTAATCAACTGTGCCAGAAATTCTTGCGATAATGCACCGCTGTCTACACCATTCTCTCCACTATAGCGCACTCTTAGCACTTTTTCAGGAGACGATCTGTTGGCTTCTCTTTGCCACAGGGACAAAACTCTAGGAAATGGGGACCCTCTTCTAGAAACAATAAAAAACTGACCATCTTGGTCAACCTTTTGAGACAGGGACTTAATTACACTTGAAATATCTTGATGGATAGTACCCATTGACATGTTGTCATCTTTCCCATCCTCCATGTTCTCGACAGCGTCAATCATGTCAATGGATAACTCATTGTCAAACTCCCTTTGTAACTCAATTGCAATTTTCTCATCACTAGCAAACACAGCAGATGCATCAGGCTCTTCATCAGTTGTCAAGCTTTTCAGTCGCTTCTTCTCTGGCTCCTCAACCAGCTCATCAGTATCTCTATCTGATTCACTATTTAGGTCAAAGTGAAAGTCACTAAGCTTGCATAGGTACAACACAATTTTGTTGTAGTCCTTTCCAGTTTCTTCTTTGTATCGTTTGAGGGAAAAAAACTCTTTACTGGCAGATGAACCTGGAAGAAACTGGGCTTCTTCACCATTTTCAAGTAGAAGAATGTAGTCTTCGTTCTCATCATAGAGGTCGCTGTTAAAGGCTCTCCACTTTTCCACAGCTTTCTGCAGGATGACTTTGTAGGTGGCTTTGTTGGACACTCTCAAAGCAAGACGCTTGCCTCTCTTTGGTTTGATACACACGTTCTTGTCACTCCATACCATGAGCCCAATGTTGATCTGCACTTCTATCTCTTTGTCACTTGCACTTCCAGCCTTTTTGCTTACAATGGATTTCCACTGTTGGCCTTTCAGTTTTTTGAACATATTGAAAGATTTCACGTGACAAGTTGAAGCGTGAGAAGTTGAAGCGCATGATGTGGATGAATGGCCTAAGAGTAAAGATGACAATACTCATTACTCCCTAAGTGATTAATTGGAGGTAGCAAATGTGATATAGTGACAAAGAGAGTAATAATATTCACAAAGTTATAACATAAAATCTCTGGTCCTCTAAAATTCAGACTTGTGACAATTTTATCCTGGTTACAGCATCTGATGATTCATACAGTAGCACTTGGCAACTGTTGTGTAGCATGAAGTGACAAGAAGCATCACCATAATTCAGCATTTTGTTAGGTTTACCACTCACCATTGCTCATTGGTCATTGGTCATTTAGAGCATTGTATATATGGTGTGACTGATTGTGTGACTGATAATAATTTGTGCATAACAAGGGATCATGAGTTGTGTTAATTGTATTTCAGTGTAAACAAATTACCGGTACTGGTAGTGTGTTTTTAACATTACCCATGGCTGGTTATTACAATCGGTATTATGAAAAAATTATGGCTAATTATACACAATATAAATAACTTACCCGTTGCACGCAGTTCATTAGATTGCTCTTGGGAAGAATGAGCTAATGGAAAAATAATTATTAAGAAAATATTAAGTCTAAAAGATCACTATAAAAGTTCCAGTATTCCTTCATTACAATAGAATGTGCATTTCCAGAAAATAACCATACTCCCCCCACGGAAGGTTTTTGTTTTGCACCCCCCCCCCAGGAAATTCCACTTTAGCATCATACTTTTCTTCTAAAATTTTGGGGCTTAAAACCCCCCTCCCCCTAGGAATATCCGAGACCTTCAATGGGGTGGTTATGGATTTTTCTGGAACTGTACAATATATTATTTTATAATTTGATCAATCATATACATCTAAGTCTACTGCATCTAACAGGAATTCAAATCAGCAAATCAATCAATTACAATAGCAATAATTACTATAAAAATGTTCAGTGCAATTGTACCTGAATTTCCTGGAGTTGTGGCAGTGCTGCACCGACCTAGAATAATTTTATGCAATAAACACATAGTTACAAACAAAGATAATGCAATAGCCCATTGATAGGATAGGACAAAGCTCTTAAAAGCTTGTGATTTATTGGTTTTTGCATTACACTGTTCACAGTCCTCTATTTTCCCGTAAGATTGTCGCGAATGTTACGAGCGGCCGTCTCCCACCCCCACCCCCACCCTTCCTGACGCCCGTCCCCTAAGTGTTTAGAGGACGCGTTCGCCTAAAAAACAAGATGGCGGCTACTCGTATAAACAATCGCAATCGCGACGATCTTACAGGAAAATAGAGGACTGTGAACAGTCTATGCCCCCATTGAAATGACCACTAATGTGTATCAAAATTGTGACTTGTGCAATCCTCTATTATAAAAATCGCATCTGCATGGTTGCGCTTTTAAACATAAGGATACATTTCATTTATATTTCATTCCACGACTATCCCCTATCCAAAGTGAGTCAACACAGTGCTCGACTTTCAGAAAAAAATCTTGGGGCCAGCTGGCCCCCAAGTTTTCATTTTTTGTCGCCAGAACAAGTATTCTGGTTGCCAAAAATTATATTTAAGAATTAATGGATTTAGTTGTGTGAAGGATAACGGATTATCGTTAGTGTACGTTTTCCCAAAGAAGATAGTCACCTATCTTGGGGGCCAGGTTGGCGACCAGGGGTGAAAATTTGGTCGCCACTGAGTAAAAGCTGGGCGCATTGGCGACCCCACGGGTCGCAACGTCGAGCCCTGCAACAGACGAGGGAATCACCGCTGTATAGGTGTAGCTGCTTAAGTCTGTAAATTACGGTATGAAAGGCTTGTATACACTTACCTGCACCACACTTGGAGCAAAAATTGTCCCCTTCTTCCAACGCACATCCACAGCTCGAGCAGAACATGGCGGGAGCGGGAAGAACTCCAGGGAAGAAGAATAAGAAGAAGAGGATACCGGGATTGGTACCAGGATACCTTGCAGTCACTTGACTGCTCGTACCCAGGCGTCGCTCGTTACTTGAATTCGGTGTGAGTTTATTCGAATTCGGTGTGAGTTATTCGAATTCGGTGTGAGTTTATTCGAATTCGGTGTGAGTTTATTCGAATTCGGTGTGAGTAATTTGAATTCGGTGTGAGTTATTTGAATTCGGTGTGAGTTATTTGAATTCGGTGTGAGTTATTTGCATTCGGTGTGAGTTATTTGAATTCGGTGTGAGTTATTTGAATTCGGTGTGAGTTATTTGAATTCGGTGTGACTTTCTGGAATTCGGTGTGCACTTGTGGGCCACCGTAGGTCACGTGAGTGCATACGCTCTATAAAAATATGTGCAGTATTCAGACCCTGTAAAGTCATTTGCCGCGCGGATGCACTACTTGAGCGCGACGTAGGAAAAGAGAGAATAACAAAAATGGTTCCCTTCAAGTATTTTTTCTGGAGTGCACTGTTTGGAGGAATCATCGGTGGTATTTGTGGTGTTATGTTGACTTTCAAGATTTACGTAAATGGGAACGAAGAACCTGAAGAACCAGCGGAGGACCCTAATGAAGAAGAACTTCAGGCAGCGATACAGGAGGAGATGATCTTGGTTAGAGAACCTGTGGAACACGATGAAAGAACTGAAAGATCTTATTGAAAATGTATGAGTGGTAAGTTTTGTTTCCTTTTTTTCTCTTTTCGCATTTCTAAATCGCTAATAACCATTAATTAGCAGAGAATTCTTCCCAATGACTTTTTTAGTTTTTGAGAACCCTGTACATCAAGGGAACGTTCAGAACAATGTTTGTGACTGGCTAGAGCATAGAATGCAGCTTGGTTACGTGTTTCTCACTGTAGAAAAAGGATCTTTAGTTAAGACCTATCTAGAATAATTTCAACTAATATAAGCGAAGCTGTAAAACCTTTCTACATTTTTTTTTACTTTAAATCTAAATATTTGGGGCTCATATTCTGAAAAATTTTGAGGGAAACGTGTGATGTGTCTGTGCGCTCTCTGGTGTGTTACGGCGTCTGTCTCTCTGTGGTGTATCTACTTTCTTTTTGCACCCACGTCACGTCACGGGGGAATCCCCGAATAGTTTCGAATTCTCGCATAGGGAACCCACGCTGCAAATGGAAATTAAATAACAGGTAAAATCTTTCCTGTTTTGTTTTATTCCTGAATCTGCTGTGGTGCGAAGTGAAATTGAAGTTGTTTTACGATGCAAAAACTAAGTTCAAGTCGATGCTTTAACCGTCGTTGATTTCACAACGCTTTTAGCCTGCGCAGCTGGCGGGACTTGCATTTTTTGCGTGGGAGTTTTGTATTGTTTTGGCGGCAGAGCCGCGAGAAGGGTGGGTTTACAACTCAATTTGAAAATCCCTCGCGGCTTCGCCACTCGCTTCGCGCGGACTCACAGCTGGTGTGCGTCACGAGATTCGACCAATCAGAATGCGTCATTTGTAGACTGCTGGTATATGTGATGAAATTTTCGCTTTATTCCAAGCTTGTGTCAATAATTTCGACACTATACCCCTTGGAAAGTTGTTGGAACACTTTATCTTGATAGTAGTTGCGTTACTTTTCAATATTTTGCTTTCTTGAGCGTTTGCGACAAGTCTGAATTGCTCGGTGATGTGCAAACCGCCATGATGATTTGATTGTAATTTTCGCCGAACTTCTTGGATTCATTCCTGGTTACTGGTAGCGGTTTTATCGGATTATTTCGGTCAACTTGTTACTTCAACCTTTCTTCTTTGTAAACTTCGGGGTCTACCCGGGTCTTCCTCTGATAGTTTCCCCGTTATGAGGCGTTGAAAGTGTCTTGGATTTGGAATGAAGAGATTGTCTCAGCGAGTAGCACAAGTCCCGGGAAACGGGCTGAGAAACTTGTTTCCGACGTGAAGTGAGTAACGCAAAATCCACGAAGAGTTTCTTTCATTTTAAGCCACAAAAGGTATAGACTGTTCAAAGTCCTCTATTTTTCCGTAAGATCATCGAGAACGAGCGCTTTGTGGTACGGGCTGCCATCTTGCATGAGTGTCAAAACTACTTAGGGGGCGGGGGCGGTTATGCAACGTGGCGTCTTGCTGTGAGCGATAATAGGGACTTTAAGATCCAACGACGCGACGGCGACAAGAACGTCGCTTAAAAAGTGAATTTGCGTCCTTTCAGTCTTTATAGTAATTATTCCTACCCACTTACTTTTTCAATTGTAGGCGAACCTTCCTGAAGCTGAATTTCAAGGGACCATATTCAAGCTCAGAAAGACAAATAAAATTTTGTCGTTGCTTGTTTACGTCCTCCATAAAACGCGAAATTAATTAGGCATTTGCACGTCGTAGTCGTGCAAAAACGGGAAAGAAATGAAGAAAAAAGTGTGATGCACGTGGGAAGTTGTTGTTTTGCTAATTAAACCTATTGTTTTTTGATGTTCTCGTTGTCGTCCGCGTCGCTGGATCTTAAAGTCCCTAATAGTGAGTTTACGCAACAGAAGAGGACGGCAAAACGCTTGAGCGTGACAAACGTGACGGGACTATTACTTGCGTGTTTTGTCGCGAATTCACTTAAAATTGATGTTTCTTTCTCTTCTACAAAAAGATCTGTTCAAAGGAATGTGAAGTTTGACGGAAGCAAAGCAAAAGCAAAATTATTGTCACGCTTGTCACACAAGGTTTGCCGTCGTCTTTCCTCTCCCGTCCTGTTGCATAAGTTCACTATTATCGGACATAAAGGCAGGACATCGGTTTTGTTGTGCAGGAAGTGCATAAAATATGCATTTTTATTATACCCATATCCAGTGACTGACTGTTTATATTTAGAAGAGAACAAAGCCATATCAGTAGCTATATTGAAATCTTGAACCTAGGATCTTATAGAAACAGAAATATTTTCCACATTAATTTGCTCCAAATTTATAGACTGTTCACAGTCCTCTATTTTTCCGTAAGATCATCGAGATCGAGCGTCTTGTGTTACGGGCTGCCATGTAGCATGAGTGTCAACCGCCCCCTCGCCGGTAGGCTCGATTACCAACCGCTGTTCGGGAAAATGAGCCAGCACTCATCCCCCGTCTCTCTTCGGGGAGGATCCAAGACCGGACCCGGGAGACGGCGGAAAAGACCGGACCCGGGAGACGGCGGAAATCGAGCCTACCTCGCCGGTACATCTGAAAATCAAGATACCCGTGACAGTAAGACGCGGTACATATCTAAACGATCTCACGAAAAAATAGGGGACTGTGAACAGTCTACAAAAGGTAAATAAGTTTGAATATTGTGATAACCTTTAGAAACAAAACTTTTTCATAACCCAGTGCGGAAACTGAAAGCGTGTCTTAAAAATAATTTGCATGCAGTGTGTGCTGTTTGTATGCAAATCTTTACGTAAACTTACGCGAGGGAATAAATCTCTACCAAAACACAAAACCATTATCGAAGATCAGACAACATCATACAGGATTTTAAGACTTTGAGGTTAGGTTTGTAGCAAAATCGATACAATGCGCTCACTTCAATGAACGTACAGACAAGATCGTGGCCAGTGTATGAGGACCGCAGAAAATATTGGGCCTGATCTCAGTCAGCTTAGACTGATAAGGACTGGGAAAACGCCGCACAGGGATGAGGCAACATCTTTCCATTCGGCTGCGAGCACCTTACTGCGATGTAACTCCTTGTCACTGGTATATATCATTTTATAGCGATTTCGTTGAGGATTTTATAGTTGTGTCTAGTGTGCGATTTTGGTTGCGTTTCTTATTTACTGCCTGACGTCGTTTGTTTCATTGGCGTATTTGTAGCTATTTCGAGCCGTGTTGTTTCTTACACTCCTTTACTGTCTAGAAGTCATTAAAAGCAGTTTCCAGCCGTTTCCAAGTGATTTTGAGGGGGGTCTTCGTTTTCTTCACACCGGGGGATTGTGTAGAAAACGAAGACCCTGGTCGCAGTTTTGTATAATTGGAGATATTGTTGCTTCTTACACATCTAAGGTCGAGATACCCGTTTCTTTTTTTTTCAAGTGATTTTCAGGGGGTCTTCGTTTTAGGGTCCTAGATATTAGGTCTTCGTTTTCTACCCACCCCATCTTCGCAGGACTTAGCATAAAGAAATTTTAACCTTCGTCTTGCATCTTAGCGGAGAAAGGGCAGAAAATGCGATATTTCAAAACGATCAAACCCATAAAAATCGCGAGGTCGAAAGAGGTCGGAGCGCGGAACTAGCATCAAGCACCCCTTGTCCGCCGATTTAAATAATTTATTAGGGCAAAACCCTGCTGGAATAAAGACAGTTTTCGATAATTGAAAGTCATCTAAATAAATATTCACTTGCGAGTTAAAACAGCATGGCTTAACAGGGTCGTGAATTGAGAAACGGTTAATAATGGAAACATTTTCCATCATTAATCAGATACCCAAGATTAACAGGGCTCATTGACCCCCTAACCCTTTCGACGCCTGCTACGCAGGCTACTTACCTTGGATGAGCTGCATCTTGAAATTCAGGTCGTTGAAAAGACAGAATTCACACAGGTATGTCGGGGTGCTCGTGCTATATTAAGACTAGTAATAGTTGACACTACAGCTGCCCCCGTTCTGTATATTGTCGGTCAATAGTTTTCTTGCTGGTTGTGTAGCTCTTTGAAAAATACCGATTCATAATGAAGATTTTCACACATATTCCATATAATAGGTGGAAGTAAATACAGAAAACGCAAGGTTCCATGCACAGTTTTAGTTTTAGTTTTAGTTTTAGTCTACTATGTCGGAGACTGAGGCTAGTATTTGTGATTGCGTGATTGTGCAGACTTGAGTTGATGACAGAAAACCCACGTGATGGATCAAATTAGTTCGATAAGTGATTTCGTTAAATAGCCGTGAATGATATGTGTCAAGGACCGGAAATTTACCCGTAGGCCATTTTCATGCA